GCTTCGCTGAAGATACGTTCATTAAATCATAGCAGATGTAAATATCACACGTACAGACTGATTTACGGTTTATCGACTTGTGTTCGTCTCAGGGCCCAAAGTCGTCGTTCATCACACCCGAGAAGAGGGCCAAGCTCAGGTCCAACCCCGTCAAAGTCCACTTCGCTGAGGAGGTGGAAGTCAACGGACACTCTCAGGTGAGTTGGCAGTTTTTTTTTCAACAACTTCGATGCTCAGATGTGACACATTTTGTGCACGGTTACAAAAAAGTGCAGTATTTTTGGAGCTCTTTTTTCTTCATCTAGATGGAAACAGCTGATCATGATCCTTTGTATTTGCTTTGTTTAGTGTTTGTTTCTTCCTGCATTGTGATTAAATTTCAGTTCATAAGTTAAGAAGGTGGACGTATGCTGGGCAGCGTCAGTTCTTATTCTCCCTTCACTGAGGAAGCTGTTGTCTGTCTCAGTTTCTTCTTCTGAATGTGACCAAACAGTTCAGGTTAGATTACGTTTGACCAAGAGCCGGTCGAATCAGTCGGATTGTCTCGCGTTAACATTCAGTATTTGCATATTCAGATACAGATTGCATGTTAAAACGAGGAGCGGGATGTATTTTCATGTTCTTCATGAGTCACACACACCTCTTGGACGTGTGATTGCATGTTTGTTGTTCTGTTAAAGGTTAAAAAATTCGATCTGTCACGGCCCCTTGCTGCAGGTTGTGTCGTGCATTGAGCCGTTTCCAGCCGAAATGCAAAATAAATCCATAAGAGGAAGAACCAGAGCGCTGCGTAAAAATATACAACAAACAAAACGTCCAAAAGTAGAGCCTCTTTCCTCTTCACTGTCAACAACAACGTTCTTTAATCACATTCACTGCAAAATACAGTAGAAATCAGAGTAAACGCTAACGAAGACGTCCGACTGACACACTTTTCCAAGCTTTTGAGACAAAGCGCTCGCCATCAAACAGGCGCTTCGCTCTTTGATCATCCCGGCGTCAGATTGTTTCAGTGTTCTGCGGAGACGTTTCCTTGAAAACTGGCTCTTTTAAAGGTTCCCTGTGGAGGTTTTTGATCTCCGGCAGCACCGCCGAGCTTCTTTTTGGCGAGCGGGTCCAGGTTGAGGATGCGTGCATGCAGGGTGTTGACGAGATGCACGGCGAGTAAATGTCGACGTAAACTATGACCTAAAAAATAGACCTCAGAAATGTTTTATTGGGCCTTACTGACACGCTGGGAGTCAAACAAAGATAAAACTTCTGCAGAGCACAGAAGAAACTCGCACTAAAAGAAATAAGAAAGGATGTCGCCTCCAGGTACATTTTAAAAACACCATCAGACCAATTTATTCTTAAATTCTTGGTCTTTCTTCTGTAATTGTGCAACATGATCTGATAGAAGCATCTTCTAAATGTTAAGCTGTTGTTGGTTTACGTTTATCCTTCTTGGAACGTTCTATGAAACGATAAATAACCTCGAAAGAACGTTCCCTGCTCGCTGAAAACCAGATTTGTTGCTGCAGCTTTGCACTAAGACCAGGACTAAAGGTTTGTGATTGGTCATGATTCCACGCTGCATGCTGTTGGGTTTTCTTTACTTGTGTACGATTGGTTGATGATATTCTATTAGCTGGATTAGGAAAACCACAGAAGCTGGAGCGGCCATTACTAAACCCGGAGAAAACACGGGTCGATATCCGTCCTCCGGCCCTAATGTCTGTGATTACAGAACAATAAGCATCACATGAGCGCAGGGAAACGGAGAAGAGATGGAGGGAGGATGAGAGGCGGAAGCCGGCTGGGCGACAGGGGAGGGGATGTCTAAAATGTGCTCCCCGCTTGAACTTCTAAACACACAGACATCAATGTTGCATTACATCACGGTGTCAATACAGAAAAACACTTTCTGAAACCATGAGAGAACAGGGGAGAGGCGGGGAGCGATGACTCACCGCCGAGGAGAAGCCGGGCGGACAGAAACAGGCCAGGAGGAAGTGAAGCAAAAGACGAGAGGATCTGAGGACGACACGAGGCCGCGCAAAAACGTGATGTTCAACAATCCGGCGAGCAAGCGTCTGAACAGAAAACGGCTCAAGTGTCGGTGCATCTAAAGCAAAAAACAAAACACCAACTATCAACCCTTGTGCCTCGCTGTCTGGCTGTTATGGAGACTAATCAGCAGCTTTGACAGCCTTTGACCTGAAGATCCTCAGTCATCCAGGTCCTGGTTGTTCTGGTGGATTAATCGTAGCAACTGCTTGAGTTCCTTGAAGACGTTTCATCCAAGAGGCTTCATCAGCTCTGACTGACTAGTTCCAGATACTTCTGTCCTTAAGGAGACATTAACACCTGAGTTTAGGTTTCAGTTGGGGGTTGTTGCTCCTCCTGCTCGTTATGTGGGTCGTTAGTGCTCCCCCTGCCACAGTGGGGTTCGTTAGGGTCTTTGTGACTAGGTGTGGATCTTCCTGGGGAGATCTTAGGACTGAACTGTAAACAGGTGAGAGGTGATGCCTCAGACCTCCACCTCTGCTGAGGAATGTTCTCTCCAGTTAGATGGCTTCTTTCACCCCTCGCTCAAACCGTCTGTCCTCCCTTTGACCTTTTTTGTTTTCAGGGGAACTCGCTGCTCTTCCTGCCCAACGTGCTGAAGGTGTATCTGGAGAACGGGCAGACCAAGGCCTTCAAGTTCGAGCCGAGCACCACGGTCAAGGTACGACGCAGTGACAGTCGTTCATACTTAACAATGCACGGACGGTGAACCCTCTGAACCGGCTGCATCTTTACTCGCTGTGGGCTCGTTAACGTCCTGCAGCTCTACGGAAGCAGCACAACGTCTGTGCACACAACTCCTAACAGGACTAGAAAAATAAATGGTGGCTACCTACTGTAGATACTACTTAGAGTTTTAATCATACACAGCCTGCAGTTCAGCCTTGTGGTTCTTTCCTTCAACTGTTGATCAAAGCTGAATCACTAATAACCCAGCAGTTGTGCAGAGATGTGCAGAATTTTTTGATTTTTACAGAATCTGGTTTGTACATTTATCTATTTTTTAAATGAGACGTGTTTGATAAAGTGGTGAAATATCTCCATTTTAAGCTTAGATTCGGTTACTTTTCCCAACAGAACACATGAGGAGTGTCTGATAGATGAATATCTCACAGTTCCTTCTGTTCTTTCACTGTTTGGCTCCGTTAAATGATGCAATTTTAGAGATTTTGTTATGGAGAAAACATGCCTTTCAAACCCGCCGGTGAGTTTTGGTGTTCAGAGGGTTAACATCTGTAGTTTTGGGAGTTCAGAGGTGAAGCTGAGGTTCATAACAAGCCTTGAAAATAAAAATAAAAATTGTGATTCCATGATGTCGTCAACTCCAGGAACATGAATAAATGTGAGGTAGTGTCACACTTACTTAAATATAACCGTATTACACAGATATTAGAACAGTCTTATTTAAAAAGTCTCTCAGCTTGAATCCATCAGAGTTCAAGTTTTAAATAAAATGTAGACTTTTTAGCTGTAATTCTTTCTTTAATTAAGGGGTTTTACTAAAATATTGCATTAGCTATTTAGGAATTACTGTCATGTTTACACAGTTCATCCGTTTGCAGAGATTAAATACACAGAATATATGGATTATATTTAACATCTGGATGTAAATTCTTCCTTTTTGTTGCTCAGATCCTCGTTGCATTCCTTTTTTTAATTTATCTTTTTGAATGCACCAAATTACAGCAACATCTTTATATTGAGAATTCCCGTGAACTGCCAGCAAATGCAAATTCAATTCTTGGAAACAGCTCCAGACCTCTTTATCTTTTATCTTATGTGTCCTAATGAGGAAACAGGACACATCTGTCCATAAAACCTCTTATCAGTGAAATGTGCAATTACTTCTAAACCCGTGAAAATAGACGGTCGTGTGTAAAAATGGCTTCTCAAACGATCAATGCAGTGTTTTTGTTGCATTAGAGCTGGAAGTTTACACTTTAATCACGTATTGATTGCTTCGTTAAAAATCCATTGTGGTGGTATAAAGAGGCAAAATTACAAAGATAGTGTCCGAACACTTGGACCTCCGGGTCTCCGCTCAGCAAAAACATGTTTCCTGATGTTATCGAATATCATCTCTCAAGGTGTGATTTTTTTCTGTCTTTGCACGCCAGGACATCGTGATGACGCTGAAGGAAAAGCTTTCTCTGAGCCGCATCGAGCATTTCTCTCTGGTGCTGGAGCAGAAGCACAGCATCAGCAAACTCCTGCTGCTGCACGATGAGGAGAGGATACAGCAGGTATCCGTGTCCTGGGTTTCATCTGTGAAATCACCTGCGTTCAGAGAGTCTAAAGCAAAGTGTGTGTGTTTGTCGTCAGGTGGTCCAGAAGAAGGAGGCCCACGACTACAGGTGTCTGTTCCGGGTCTGCTTCATGCCCAAAAACCTCCAGACGCTGCTGCAGGAGGATCCCACCGCCTTCGAGTACCTTTACCTGCAGGTCGCTTTTCAGTTTTTATAGTTAAAACTTGCAGTGTGGAGCTTTTGTCTCCCTCTAGTGGCAGTCGGAGTTATTACACAAATACTGTTCATGTATGTTCATGCTAACAGGGGTCACTTTTATCTGAGTTGGCAAACTGCGATTTTGTAGCGCAGCGTTGTCGCTCCGTTCGTCACCGTCTTCTCGAGCTAATCCAAAAATCTAAAGCGGTGGCCACGCCCTCAATCATGCATAACTTTAAACTTCAACACAATTTGGTGAGTTATTTCTAAATCACCTTATTTACAGTTGTCAAATTAGCACTAGAGACCAAAACCATCATTTGTTCCCGGCTGCATTCGTGTTTATTTCCGCTATAAAGTTCAATATTTCAACATAGAGCTCTATGGAGGCTGGAGGCAGCCTCAAGTGGTCGTTTGAGGAACTGCAGTTTTTGCATTCGCTCCGTTTTTCAGTCGCAGAGTTTGTCTTTTTCCATCATACTACTAGTTTCTGGAGCTTATTTCATCTGCATTGCTGCAGTTGCTCCTCTTGCCAACCAGTTGTCGCAATTTGACTCATTGCTACGAGGACTGTTGCCATAAACGCCCCGTTTAGAATACACCTGGAAATACAGGGAGATCAAATTGATGCCAACAGGTTTGATCAATACTGTGTGAACTCATTTAGCTTTGATTTAATGGACATGCATGTCTACGTAAAAGTCCTGTATTCCAGCTTGGTGTTTATTAATCATCTTTTCATGTTGACTGAGTGCTTGTAGAAAAAATTAAATCAGCTGTTTGCGCTAATTACTTTAATCCTCCCAAGTTATCTTTAAGAACTACCAAAATGACGGCGTTTATCAGACCCAGTAACTGTAGAAGCAGGAAGAATTGTCAGATTTACGGCTTTCTGTTGGACCTAGCATCCATGACGGGCCTTTTTATCAGGAAACGGAACCAAACATGAGCCTCAGATTGTGATATTTCATCCAAATCCCTGTTTTGTGCACTTAAAAATTTGCCATAAATAAGAAGTTTGCTCAGATCAGATCCTTAAAAAAACTAAACTTTTGTGCTTCTCAGTTTAACCGTGAAGCCGTGAGCGATGATGAAATTCAGGGATTTTTTTCACACAGAGCAAAGAGAAGACAATCTGGAAGAAAAATTAAAATGTAAGCTGAAAAAAATCAGTTTGCAGAGCCCATTTTTTTTCTTGCATATTTCAATATTTCTTTTTTTTTTCATGACGTGTCGCTTTCTGAATTTGCTTTGCTGCACTGAAGACATTTCTCTGTGCTTCTGTTCGGGTTGTGCTGCAGTGAAAACGAGCCCTCAGTGACTAATAATGTGACAGGAGCAGGAAAATGCCCAGAACCTGTTTGGGACTCCTCACTTTAAAAGGGATTTGGAAGTCCGAATGAAATCAATACGTAAAGTTCTGTAACACTTGCAGAAGTCCGACTATTGCTGCGCTTGACACATTTCGCTGTGCTGTAAATCAGCAGAAAGAAATGTCAGCCGGTTTGGAAATTAAATTTTTCATTAAATCCCACCTGTACTTCTTGGAAATGGCGTAAATAATGTGTTTGGTCACTCAATGAGTGAAGCTAGTCCTTGGCACCCTGTGGAGCAGCTATTTAGATGAGTGAAAGGGACTTTATGGTCAGTGTTGACATTTTGGCTCAACATCCTGCAAAGAAAGCCAACTTTATGTCAGTGTTCAGCACTGAGCTGCCTCATCTTGGTACAGATGCTTTTCTCTAGAAATAAAAAGTGCTGCTAACGAGGCGTACCAGCAGCTGAGCCGTGGATGATCCTGAATAAGATCGGTTGTCATATTGTCTCTCTAAGTGTTTCATTCAATCGGCAGTGTGCTGTTTGTTTTCTGTGTTTTAGGGGGTGAACGATGTGCTGCAGGAGCGCTTTGCGGTGGAGATGAGGTGCAACACCGCCCTGAGACTGGCCGCGCTGCACATTCAGGAGAGACTGGCCAGCTGTGGGCAGTCGCCCAAGATCAACCTGAAGATGATCACGTGAGACGCTCAGGACACGAGATCCCTTCTGCCGTCTTTGTGGGGATATTAATGAAGTCGGAGCTCTGAGAACGCGCTACGACGGGGCAAATATGATATAACAAAGTATAATTTATTCAAAGGGGACATCGGGGCGTCGTTTCGAGCCGCGCTTCTATTATTTTACCTGCAGAGCTCAGCAAAATGAGTCAATGTGTTTACGATATTCATCAAATAACTCTTTGTTAGGCCTGGTGGAGTTAACTGAATCATCCTGCAACAAAATGCAGCCGCACAGATGCAGTTTTTCACAGGACTGAAGGTCTGTTGTCGGCTGTATGCCTCCAGATTAATGCATAAAACGTTTTAATGTAGATAAACAACTACAGAACAGATTTTATACACTCATTCTTCTGTTGAACGTGCTGCACACCCAACGTCATGTATGTACAAAGAGAAATGGAGGTCGGATTTTAAACTTAGATTATGTTTAAATAGGGAAAATTTGCAGAATGCAGCTTTTAGAGTGAACCTGCAACCTTCTACGGTTGTTTTAAATCCAGTATTGGAAAGAAAAATGTGGTTTCATAGACATACAATAGTCAAGGTGTCCATATAAAGAGTTCGCTCTCTTGGAAGTTTCCCCTTTTATAGCTGTTCAGCTTTGAAATATGGTCGATATAATTTGGCTTTTTTGACAAGAACTTACAGAAACGACTCTTTAATGTCTTTTTAATTAACTAAAGATTTAAAATGTGAAATAAGTGACTGCATGCACTAAAAAGAACACTCTAAAAGGTTGTGGAAGGCATAAGTCAGGGCATTTCCAAGTCACTGACCATCCCTTAGAGTCCAGTTAAATCCATCGTTCAAAAAAATGGAAGTAGTATGGCACGTGGAAAGTTGACTGTAGTGAACGAACAAGAAAGACACTAATGATTGAGGCCACCAAGACACCTGTGACTCCTCTGAAGGAGCTTCAGCAGCTGAGATGGGAGAGACTGTTCATACAACCAGCACGGTGGTGGCAGCGTCATGATGAAGCACGGTGGTGGCAGCATCATGATGCGTTGATGATTCTCAGCAGCAGGTCCTTGGAGGCTTGTGAAGTTAGAGGATACAGTGAATGCAGCAAAGTTTTACAATCCTGGAGGACAACCTGATGCATCTTGCTATAGAACTATGACTTGGGAGAAGATTTGTTTCCAGCAAGACAATGACTTGAAGCAAACAGCCAAAGCTACAAAGAAGTGGTTTAAAGACAACAAGGTGAATGTTCTGGAGGCGAGTCAGAGCCCAGACCTCAATCCAACTGGGAATTTGTGGCTGGACATAAAAGGGGCTTTTCATTCATGATCCCTGTAACCTGACAGCTTGAGCAGCTCTGTGGTAAAATGACAGCGTCCAGATGTTCAGACTGATTGAGACCAACACAGACTTAATGATTTAATTGCAGCCAAAGGTGCTTCTACTAAATACTTTTTAAAAATGACATGACTTTGTAGAAATCTGTTTTCACTTTGACATGAAAGAGTCTTTTTTTAATATAAATTCCTGTCAAAAAGCCGAATTATCTTGATTGCAATCCAGTGTTAATAAGCAGTAAAGAGAGGAAACTTCCAGAGGAGGTTAGCACTTTTTGAAGGATTCCTGCTGTCAGTTTCACCTCTCTGCGTGTCTGTGTTCGCTTCAGGAAGACTTGGGGCATCGAGAACTTTGTTTCATCCACCTTGCTGAGAAACATGCGGGAAAAAGATCTAAGGAAGGCCATCGGCTACCACATGAAGAAGAGCCAGACGCAGCACGATCCCAAGCAGAAGGGCGTGTCGGTGGATCAGGCGCGAATCAACTACCTGGAGGAGCTCAACGACCTCAAGTCCTTCGGAGGGAAATCCTTCGGCGCCACCATGATGGTAGGGTTTTAACCACAGCGTAAGTGTACGTACAGGCTGGTTGTAGCTGTAAACCTCTTCTTCCTCGACACTTTGTCCACTTCAGCTCCAGGACAGGGAGTCGATGGTGACCCTGCTGGTGGGGGCGCGCTACGGCGTGAGTCAGGTGGTCAACCACAAGCTGAGCATCCTGTCCACGCTCACCGAATTCACCAGCATCACACGCATCGAGCTGCTGCCTGAATCCGACAAGGTCAGCCTGGTCAAAATATACCTGCAGGACATCAAGGTGAGACCCCAGAGGACGCACCAACAAGACGACAGGACACTGTAAACATGGTCAGATAGCACCTGACCAGGTGGGTCATGTTGGGGTGAGCACCAGTTAGCGTCTTCCCGCTAACATTACATAGACTTACGTAGTTGCACAATTACTTCTGCAATTTGGACACAGAAGATTTAGACGTTTGGAGGTCTGTTAGTTTTCTTTTGTCGCTATACAAGCTCACTGAAGAGCTGCTGACTGCCAGACCTCTTTAAACCACGAGCAGTTTCTTAGCCTTTTCTACTCATTTTTCACTGCTACATAAAGTCATGCACCCTTAACGTGGCTAGAAGGAGAGAGAACCCAAAAATGTCCTCTGTGCAGTCTGTCAAAGTATTATAACATCATAAAAAGTGCTCAGAGATGTTTTAAAAAAACCAAAAAGATAATTATACATACCGCCGATCTTTTACTACTTATATTTTTCTATCTGCTCCGTGCAAACACTGCCTGCAGTTCAACCAAGCTTATTGGAAAAACCCACGAATTTTTATTAGTTGATGAAACATCACAATTTTAAGCTCTGATTTGGTTAAATCATTTACAGACAGCACAGAGGGTAGCTCAAGTTAGAGATCTGATTATTCTTTCTTGTTTTGTGTCTGATAAATGGTCTAATTGTGGTGATTTTTAGACACTTTATGGGATCACAGGGCTTTAGGCTACATCCACATCCAGTTTACTGGCGTCCTCACTGCTCCGGCGTTGTCGGACCTGCTGGCCCAGTTTTAGTCTGAAAACTCAGGTTTGCATTTTCAGCTGAACAGGCAGAAACTCGAGTGCTTTCTGATCAGGCCTCGCTGCCACTACGCTCGTTCCCTCCTATCAAGTGACACATGCGTTGATTAGCAGCAGTTAATTCAAGATGGGTAATGAATTGCAGGCGTTGCTAACCTTGTTGTCTCTGCTAGCAGCTGTGTCGTCTTACTTTTCACCATCACTGTTTCCTACCAAAGTTTCATCTCGTTTGTTCTTCCTCTGTAGTCGTAGCTCTACATCCAATCAACCAATCTTCTCCTTCACGTTTACACCATGTTTAGAGTACATGAGTGGTCGTCTGACACGTCGTCTTATTTACGAAACGCTGTTAAAACGCTCGACTGGAGGGAAATAATTTTTGTTTTAAAACTGCCTCAAAACTAAAACGTGTTAGCGTGGATGTAGCACAAGATAATCAACCTTCAACTCAACATGACCCACCTTCGTAGCTGATGGAAGATCTGTTTGCATTACGTCGCTGTAGACACTGTGCAGAACTCCTTGTCAACACTGCTGTAAGTGCTTTTCCACTGCTGTAATCGTCTTTCCACTGCGTCTCTCATCTCCTGCTCTCTCGTCTCTTTTCTCTTTTCACAAAGCCCATCACTCTGCTGTTGGAGTCAGCAGCAGCTAAGGATATGTCCTGCCTCATCGCCGGCTACTGTCGAGTTTTTGTTGACCCCAACCTCAACATCTTTCCCTGGATAGATGACTCCAAGAAGCACAGAGTCTCTGCTGAGGAAGGTACAAAGAAAATGCACATGTATAGTATTGTGCAGCCTCTATTCTGCAGCGATGCATCGATCAGTTTGAAATCATCTGATTCCTAAATTTGACTATTTTCTGAGATTTTATACGCCAAAAAAAATCAGATATCACTCGAGAAAATTATTGAAAAATTGAGTAATTGTCAGTCACAGCCCTTCGTGCATCACACATTTACGTTCTAGCTAATAAATAACTGTTCTAATGCGTCCACAGGTTACGTGTCACGATGCGGCAGCGACTCGGACTCCTCCTCAGACTTGGACATGGAGCCTCTGGTCCACCTGGTGTCCCACGAGGAGAGGCCCTGCCCTCGTCTCAGATCCTCATCGGACCCCGACGGACGGAGGAGGAAAGACAGGGACAGGAGGAGAAGCAGAGACGGCAAAGAGAAGGGAGATAAACCATGGGAGGATAGAAAAGTGAGAGAAGAAAAGGATGCCGACACGGAAAAGAGGAAGCCTCCACCGGACGGCAAGAGCAACGCCACGGAGCAGAAGGAGGAGGTCAAAGGAACGCAGGATGGAGGACAGGCACAAGTTCAGATCACCGACAGCGAGGCGGGTGGAAAAGCTGGACAAGGAGGGAAGGCTGTAGGTGGAGAGGAGGTTCGAGCAGCAGAGGAGCAGCCGTCGGCGTCAGAAGCTTCAGATTCGTGTCACACCGACTCTCGGGTCCTCACCAGCCCCTCCAGCGACTCCCTGGACGCCCTGGAGGAAGACGACTTGATTTCCTGCTCCTCCTCCTCTGTCCATCCCTCACACACTTCCCATCAGCTCCACCCGTACCCCCAGAGGCACGCCCAGCCTCACCTCCTCACCCCTCCGCCGGCTCACTCCCACCCCGTCGTCGTGGCTCAGGGAGGAGGCTGCAGGAGGTCGGGCGACGGAGCCGACCCCCAGCTGGTCGCCTCCGCCTCCTCCCAGAGCCTCCACCGCGCCCAGAAGTGTTCGGGTAACCTCTGCTCCGACGACAGCTCCCTGTGCTTCGCCGAGCTCTCCCGCCTCGTCGACTTCCTGCCGAGCCCCCCGGAGGCCAGCGAGGAAGACGACGACGAAGAGGACGAGCTGAGGAGGAGGAGGAGGAGGGAGATGCTGAAGGAAATGGAGGCGGCCATGAGACGAGCGGGCGAAGGCGGTTTGAAGGAGCACCTGCTGTCCCCGTCCCCGTCCTCCCCCTCCTCCCACGTGGACTTTGTGTTTAACTTTGACCAAAGCGACGCTCGCTGCTACTACAACCTCTGCTCCAACATCACCCCGGACAGCGCTCGCAGCCCCCCGAAGAACGAAGGAGAAGACTGCAAGGAGGCGGAGGGAGATGGGGCCAAAGCCGAAGGCCTGGAGCCGATCCCCATCCTGCAGCCGCCGCCCGGCTTCGGCGACAGCAGCTCCGACGACGAGTTCTTCGACGCCAGGGATCGCTTCACCTCGCCAGAAGACCCAACGTCAGGGGCCGTGCCAAGAGGTGAGAATGTTCTGTCATTTTCCAGCCCTGTAGACGGGTCAGAAATAAAGGCTGTGAACTCTGCCATCTAGTGGCAGAAGTGTTTACTGCCCAGGAGTGATGAAGCGTTGGATTACAGAATATAATTGCCAGGAAACTAATAGACCACACCTACAGAGATGCAGGAAGTGACTGCTGACTATAAAGATTCAGCCTGCAGAGCGTCCAGAGTGCAGCCAGGCTTTCCTTTGATTCATCACACTCAGCTGTCCAAAGATATTTACGAGCACGAAGAGTCAAGAGGCAGCACTGGAGTGCAATTTTGAGACGCTTCACTTTACCTGAGTATTTATAAACTACAGTAATTAAGATTTCTATTTCACAACGTTTTAGACTGAACATTTTGACTACAACAATGAAGTGCATTTAACTAGAAGTGCAGTAATGTGGTGTAAACAGACAAACTGCATCGCTGTAGAAAAAAGAGATAAATGTAGATGTGCAGGTAGGGATCAATGGCAGTGTGAACTGAATAAACTGTATTAGATCTAAGCAGTATGAGCCGTCTGAACCATGACACAGCTTTATTTTCTAGCTGTTTTTCACACTGTAAACCGACTGTTCCCAACTTTATTGGCGTCTAATTGAAGAATATCTGATGTGTGTCGGAGATGTTGGCCAAGAATTCACCAAAAAAATCAAGATTATTAAAAAGAAGTACGATTAATATATATTTCTACATTTCCTGTTAATCATCTGACGACTCCATTTGATTTATCTTAAAACCTTTTTGATAGAGGTTCAAACCTCTCGCTGGGGAAACAAAAAACAAAACAAAAATTACGTCTTTAACCTTGTTAACATGCCCATATGTATGTTTTTATATGCTAGGAGACATATAATGTACATAATTAGCATTCAGCAGCAGTATTTCCACCTTAAACCTGCAGCGTAACAGCGTCAGACTTCCAGGGTTTCATACAAAACAAACCCAAAGACTCAATGCTGTCAGCTTGCACATGAGGCTTTATGGATCATTATTCTTCAGAGAGTAGTTATGCAGTGTTTGAGCGGAGCTGGTGTGCTCGAGTTGCAGAAATTTTCATGGAAAAAACATCTACACATAGATCACAGACTGGAGACAGACTTTTTGAGGCCAAACCATGTAAAGAATTTAAATTATCTCCAACTCCAGCGGCTGCAAAACTAAAAATTCTACTTATTCATTAATGTTTTGGCTTTAATGATAATTTAATGTCATGCAGAGGACATTTTTCTGCAGAATGACTTCAAATTCATTTTACTGATAATACTTTTAAACTTGTACTTCAGCAGCAACTTGAAGGATGAGTTTTATTTATTTGCAATCAGTTATATTTACATTGTTGTATTGATAAATTTACTTAAATACAAGGCCTGTAAACAAATTACAACAACATTTTGGTTTTAAATCAGAAGCAAGGGCAGCACAATACAATAATGTGCTTTTTGTAATTGATTCATTAATGCGTCAATCCGACTTTAAAATAGTTTATTTTCATGAAGACTGGATTCTTTATTTATCTTCATGTAATCTTCCATTTCCATCTTTACTACAAAGACTGCTGTCCTCCTTTGCATTATTTTCAGTGGTGTCAGCATCCTTGAGGATAATATTAAGTGTAACTGAGATCTCTGGATGTTTATAGTCGTGCCGTTATGCTGCATGCTAAACCACAGATGAGACAGGACGGCCATTATGAAGCCTGACGGAGCAAAAAAAACTCTCTAAGTCAGTCACTGCTGCTTGTGCAGCTTAATTGCAAAGTACTGAAGCACTTCATTTGCAAAACTAAACCCTCTCGCTACTGCATTTTTAAATTATTTTTTAATGGTTTAATTGCTGATTACTCTGCAAACCTGTATAAAAAAGTAATACGAAATGAGAGGTTTCATTGGGTCAGTACTTCTACGTATTGCACACAGAGCACATGAAGGACTGTGGCATACACTTTGCTTTTTAATGCTAGTTTGACTGATTCTTTTTCACTGTCCTGTAGATATCTGCACAGAGATGAAGCTGGACCTCCTCAGCACACTCAGCCTCAGCGACATCAGAGTCTGTGTGGCGGAAGCAGAAAAAGATGGAAAAGCAGAAGTGGACAGAAAAGGCGAGGAAGAGGGAAACAGAGAGGCGTTTCTCCAGCTCAGGAAAAGGTCCCGCAAGCGACGTTCATTCATGGAAACCGACTTCACCTCCAGGGTGTCGTATCCAGAACCTGATCCAGAATCAAAGCAGGACCTGGCCTCCAGCAGGCTTCACAAAACCATTTTGGCAGAAGAGAGTGACGCTCAGGTCCTCAGTTCAGATCCAGAACCTTCGGAGCAAACCCAGAATCCAAGTCCTACCGTCTCCTCTCTCACTCACTCTGAGGGGGAACCGGCCCAACTCGAGTCCAAACCCATCCTGTCGAAACTCTGCTCACTTGCACCGGGCTCTCGTTCTGGTTTCAGGTCTCATGAGCAGAGCCTGGACCAAAAGTCGCCCTCCAGAACCAGGAAGCAAGACATGGAGATGGAGCCCGACGCGATGGAGTCGAAGTCGGTGACGGATTTGGTGAAAGCGGCGTCTCCCACCATCACTGTCGTCCGCTGCAGGGTGGATCCAGACGGGAAGGAGAGTGCCGATCGGAGGGGTGATGGAAAGGAGGAAGGGGAGGAACAGGAGGAGATGGGTGAGGCCAAAGAGGATGAAGAAAAAGAGGAACCCAACGGCGTGACGGGCAACGGACCGTTCACTAGTCATTTGTTTTTGCCAGAAACCACTGAAAATAAGGACAAGAAGAAAGAGGCGGTGGTGGGATACTCGTCCAGCTCAAAGAGACCCCTCGTTGGTGCTCTGAGTCCACCAGACACATGTTTAACAGATGTGAATAAAAAGGGTAGTAATGGACTTTTGGTATCCCATGTGATTGGTCCTGACATAAACACATACGTTGAGGAATACATGCTTGAGAAGTCAAACCCTAAGTCATACTCACCACCGCCTCCACCTCCTTCTTCCCCTCTACCTCCATCACCGGTTCCACAAAAAAGCCCGGTGAAAGAGGAAGGAGGCGACGAAAAATCAGCAAACAAACTCCCCATTTCAAATCACGAGGAGATGAGTAATAACACTAACAAAACACAGTCGCGTGTTGAAGTCGCAACCAGCGTTAACGACGCTAGTTCTAATGTTAGCGACGAAGTTACAGACAGCACCAATTCAGACAACGTTTTTGAAGATGACGATGAAGAAGCCAGTAATTCCTTAGTTTCTTGTTCAAGTGACAAGAGAGATGACAGGACTGCGGCTGCGAAGCAAAGCATAGGTAAAGGTGAGCCACAAGTCAAGCCTCGTCCAAGTTCTGAAGCTCATGCAAGGATTAATTCTGTTAATTCCGATTACACTCGAGCTATAAACTCGATCACGGCGAAGCTTGGAGCCGCAACAAGCGCCACGTCTCCTGCTTTTAATTCAGGTGCTAAATTGAAAAACGATGTTGCAAATCAAAGTGTCGATCAACCGAGTAGTGATTCCACCGTGCTGAGTGCAAAGGCTGAAGAAAGTTCAGCTACTCCTAGCTTAGCAAAGGCTAACACGGCTACCATCCAAGATCTCTCCAAAGAACCTCCATCTCCATCCCACTTCCTCTTCCAGCCCTGTTCCCCAAGCATCATGGGACGACTATCCGCCTCAACTCTCAGGGGGAAGATCCAACAGCTGCCCCTTTATTTATCTCGATCCCAAGAAACTCTGAATCAAGCCGGTGCTGGAAATATAAACCCGAGTCCTGCTAAAGACAATAGTAAGAGCGACGCAGAGATCACCATCAAAGTAACCGACGTTCACGATGTCACGCAAACAGTTGACTTAGAAACCGGCGCAACTGCAGAAACAGTGGAGTCAGACGATTCCGATACAACGCTCACCGGATCTGAGGTTGACGGGGAGTTTGTTGCAGAAATACCCTCAGCGAAGAGGGTAAACTCTGGATCAGAGGTGAACAAAGTAAGATCTGAGCTGCCTGTTCAGACTGAGCCCAAACCCCAAGAACGGAATCAGCTCTTGTACTCCAACAAGAACACACCAGGTCCCATAACGGAGCCTCCAGCCTCCATCGTGAGCCACCTCCAAAGAAGCCCGAATGCAGACACTCCTGGGCCTGTAAAAGACGCTCCAGAACCAAACAGCAAAGTCCCGAGTCCAGACGAAGACATCCCAGGTTTTAAAATGAGCAATCAGTCACCTTCCATCCCCCCTCCGATAGTGGTGACCACGCAGAATCTGAACGGACCAGGACTTCCTTTTCATAGTCAAAAAGTGAGAAGGACCAGTAGCGACAGGCCTCTCATGGGTCTCTGTCGGCCTTTAGAGAAGAATTCAGACTCAACAAAGACGCTTTCCTCTGGCTGCAGAGTGTTTACCATCTGTGAGGATCAGGAGGCCAAGACTCCAGCTGATGCTGGGTCAGCTCCCCTCCTGAAGTCGGAGTTTAGTTGTGGTTCTGTTCTAGCGTCTGGATGTGAGTCGGTCGTGGAGGGGGTGCAGGTGCCGCTGGATGCTTGCGGCTGCCCGGCGGTTTATACCAACTGCTTCAGCGGGGGGGACAGCTTTGACGACGAGCTGACGGTCTACGAGTTCTCGTGCCGGACGCAGAGCAGCGGCGTTACCCAGACCTCCGGGGCAGGCCTTCCCCTCATGACCTCCGCCCCTGTTCCCTCCTTCCTCTCCACCTCCTCCAGCCACCACTCCCCATCATTCCCGCGCTCCATCCTCTTCTCCTCCTCCACCTCCGAGCTCAGCCCTCTCCTCTCGCCGCTGTCCGACTCCTCCGATTCGTTCATGTCTCAAACGCACAAAGACACCATCGGCCGGCTCGGTCAGCAGCGCTACCCTGAACCCCCCGCGGGTTTCCAGGTGCTCCGCGTCGACGTGGACCAGCTCCTTTCCATCCTGGAAAGCAGCGGCAGCGCTGTGGCAGGTCACGGAGGCCGCCACCCACGAGACACATGCCCCGCCCACTTCACGGAGAACAAGCGGGTGCTCCAGATAGAGGCGCGCCGGCTGATGTCAGGCTGCCAGAAGGTGGTGGGGATCGGACAGAGCCCCGAGGAGATGCTCCACTCCCTCGCCGACAGCTTCCGGACCCTGGTGGAGCTGGCGGGTATTTGCCTCTGGTTCTCCGGCTGCGACAGGTGCGACCGCAGGAACGCAGAGGCGGTCGCAGGCCTGGCGGACGTGGCTCGGTCATTCAGGGACTTCTGCCTGGCGGCGGAGCGGGCCAGCAGCAAGCGCAGCTGCCAGGACCTGAGCACCAAGCTGCTGGCCAAACAGTGCACGGCGCTCACCGCCTCCGTCTTCTGCCTCACCCAGCTGTTCCGCACCCTCACCGCACTATGAGTGGACCGCAGCCTCGGAGGACTTTTAGGAACGCTGTAGCTCCACAGACATGAGGTCATCTGCAGCAGCTGTGAGCGGAGTTTGACCCGGCATGTTCAGATCGGGCAGGTAGAGCTTGAGGCACAAAAAACTCTCAACAGCATCAAGCCGCGGAGGGCGAGAGATCGTTGAGGTGCATGTGATGACTGACTCTATGTCCAGACAGTCGGAGTGGTGCGAGCTGCAAACAAGCCGAATCCACTTGCATTCCAGTGTCGAGGAACTGATGTACTTGAATGTATTCCATGTTACCAGTTTATTTATTTAATTCATGAGTTACTCCGGTGCGTCTGCGAGGAATGTCGAGGAAGGGAGAAACTTGGTTAATGTTTACAGGCAAAGAGCTTTAGACTAAAGAGTCGCAGTGTGTGGAAGTCGTGGGCCTTTTACACACAAACACAAGCACACGCAGAGCAAATCCGTCTCTGATTCGTCATCCGTTCATACACAGGCCTTTTTGTTTCAACCACGTTTTAGTTTCACTTCGATCTCCTGATGAGAAACACAACAAGTTCCTGAAGCTTACGTTCTGTATCTTTACATTCTCCAGGCCCTCGGTGAGGACTTTTTTTTTTGTTCTTGGGAATGTTACTGTTTACAAAAACCAAAACCTTTTTGCGTGAGAGCTGATCTGATCGAGCCTGAAGCTGTTTTGCCGTTTTATAAACCTCGTAGTGGAATGCTGATGTATGCGCTTTATAGTTCTGAGTTTATAGAAGCAACGGTTTGGATGAGCTACGGTCCTCCACACTTTGGTTTGTTGTCATTTTGCACAGACGTTTGCTATGATTTATGGACATGTAACGACGTTTGCTCGCTTCCCTCTCATTCGTTTGTCAGCACTCTCTTCCTCCGCCTGCAGTTACGAGACTGAACCTCCGGGTGCACGGTGATGCTGCTGTCAGCCCACTTCTTACTTGTTTTTCCAAACTTTTATTTGTTTTTCTACGTAGTGCGAACAGAACCTGCAGTCTGCAAGTAGGAGATACTTACTGCTAGTTATTTATGATAGTTTTATGAGAATTTAACGAGTCTTGAGTTTCAAATATTGTTTCCGACATCATAAAAAACCTGCACACCTCCGGGGACGGTCAGAAAAGACTGACTTAGACGAGCCTGTCCCTCACACTAAGTGCATTATTACTGACAGATTTCCCAGCGTGACCACAAACAGCAGTAAACCAGTGACAGGATTTGGCCTCGGATCAGTGCAGGATTGCGGTTTTGCGGTAAACCGGTGCAGTCATCGACACGTTCGTCACGAAATCATGTACAACACTGATTTGCTTGAAGCTTATTGTTGTGGATAAGCTGTCGTATTGCAGCATTTTCACCTGGAATGTTTCTTAAAGTTAAAAAAAACAAAAAAAAAACAGGCTTGACGCACACTGGACCTGCATGTTCACCGGAGAAATACGTCACCACTTCAGGAACACGATATATCGCAGACCGTGTTTCTATTTCTATTTATAACAGCGACTGAAACACTCGATTTATTCACCTGTAACTCGTTTTCTGTTCCGTTCGGTTGCGACTTGATATCATTTCCTGTGTTTTGCTTCCAGTTTGCAGCAGATTTACTACGACCTCCGTGTGGAAATCGCCCCCCAAAACAAATGATGTTTTCTAACCATCATCTGTGCTCACGAAGCATGCGGTTATAAGCCATAAGACGCGTATTTGTTTCATCAGGGATTTTGTCTGTGAATGACTGAATGATGATGTCTGCTCTTGCTTTGTAATGCTCAACTCCCACCATTAAAAACGACGTTAAGATCTTGTTTTTTGTGGTTCCTTTGTTGCTTCTCCACCTGAGTCGGACAGATTTTTGTTTTTTTAGGTGCATAAAAGCTGCTTTGACAAGTTATAGAGAAGATCCACTGTAAGAAAAACTGCACTGATGGATAAATTAGATCATTAAAATACATTTTGTAGCCTTAATGTCACATTAAATACACATTAATGGTTTTATATGTGTGTATTATTGTTTTAAAAATAACATAAAAACTAATTAAATTGTCTATGATATATAATAGATACACACTAAAGAGGCTGTAATTTTACACGTGTGGAATTTTTTGTCTTTCTAATTTTTTTTTATTTTTTAAATTATGTATAATTAAATAGGTAGACATAAAGATTTAAATAAAAAATACACTTGTGCATCTTTTCTAGTGGCTGTATTTTGCTTTTTTGCCACTAGAGGGCAGAAAAATCATAGTTTGATGGCCTGTAGTGGTAAAAAGCTGCAGGATTTGTGAGATGCTTAATTTGATAGAAAAAAACACAAAACTGAGCATTTGTTCGTGAAGACTTTAATTAATTAAAAGCAAAGCAGCTACTCTATACGTTGAGATTACAGTCTGCTCTCCTAAACATGGAGAATCAACTCAAACAGTTGATTTCTGGCTGCTTTAATGCACAATCCTGTTTTCTCACCACTTAACTTTTACGTCTACGTCCATCTGCCTTCTTCAGGCTGCGTCTCTAAAACCAGGTGCAGACTAAATTATTTTGATTTAATAACGACCAAATGTAAAACCGTGACCCCGTGCTGTGAATTAAATGGCTTCAGGTCATAAAGGATCCACTGCAAATGTCTTTAATATAATTATTGACCACGTCTTCCTCTGGAGCCACTTAATGAGACTCATCAGCGCACAATGAAGTCGGCGTGTTTTCATTTCTGCTCATGTTTATGTTCACAGTAGAGTGATTATGATGATGTGCAGACGTTGTGTGTAATGAATTAACACACAATCAAAGCTGTTGCTTTGCTGCCATGTTCTCATCAGTCAACAGCCAATAACCCACGAGGACGTTGTTGGAAATATCTGCAACTAAAGACAAAATATTTCTCAGAATATCTGTGCTGCGGCTCCAGATTGTGTTCAGGTGCATCTCGTTTGATTTAATTATCTTTGAAACATGTTCAGGACTGAGCTGGAGTTCACCTGTGGAAGGAGGAATGAACTGAACAGAATCTAGAAACACACCTGTGCATGAGAGGCTGTACGGTCTGTCTGTAGATTTGTGATAAAACTACGTTGAGTCATAGATTGTTTATTGAACCACTTCTGGCCTGAGAAGCTGTGAAATCCAACAGATCGTCTTTAACTCAAGAACCTTCAGACATTAAGCAACAAACACGCTGAATTTCTGACATTTATTTTGTTTTTCTTCTGAGTCAAATTCAAGACACGTCTGAAGAATCATCAGACGCCCAACAGTCTGAAGCCACAGCAAAGAGTTTGACTGTTTCTGTACATGAGAGGTTTTAGTTTTCAACACGTTTTCACTTTGGAAATCCCAAATGCTTTCATTTTTTAAATTAAATCTGCAACACAGTAAAGTATGCAAATATTTATTATAGCTCGTAGTTCTTATTACATTAATATCATTTTGGATTTTTGATGTGCTGAAATATTTATCTGACTTTTACGCTCTTTAAAATATTCTAATATTAGAATAATTATAATTCATTTAAGGAAAGAAATGAAGCATTGGACCGTTTTTCGTGATCAGTACATTTAATTGAATTTCTAAGTTATTACCATCATAAATCTCAGCAGCCATAATTACATATTTCAGCAAATATTATGAGTAAATCTATGTAGACATTAGTAAAATGTGGTTCTACATTTGATTATTGATTAATTCTGATGTTTGACTTGTAAAAATTTAATAGTGTATTTATTCCAAAGGAGGATTTTCTAGAGCATTGTGGAAATAGAGAATGTAATTATGAAAATGTGAAATTAAGAAGTAAAAAAAAAAACCTTGGATAAAACACGGAGCGTGTTCTCCGCCGTAATCACTTCCTGACTACAAATTTACGTCATCACACTCCGTTTCGGTTGAAGCGCGAGGACAGCTGGATGAGCGTGGCTCCGCAGAACTCCTGACACAGGTGGTGTCAGGTGTGTTCTGGACTTCCTGGAGCTGCAGAGGACGCTTCGTTGCCAGAAATGAAGGGTTCGGTTCTGGGACTCGGTTCTACTTGAAGCTCCTCCGGTCATGGATCGACCCGCGCCGGCCGCGAAATGTTCCGTTAACGGAGAGAACGGAGGCTCGACCGGAGCTGCTGCTGCCCGGAGCTCCGGTGGAACCTGCGGCTTCTGTCTGAGCAGAGTCCGAGCTGTGATCCCGCAGAACCACCTCGACGAGCTGCTGCAGCTGGTCCGGCTGGCGGGACCGGTGGTGAGCCGCAGCGTCCCTCCTCGGGCTGCACAGCCGCACGTTTCCTCACCATACAGCCCGAGATCGTTTGTGTTTCGGAAAATTAAGTTCGCCGAATTAGCTGTTAACTGATCATCTGTGTTGTTCACCATCACATGTTCTGATTATTGTTACTGAGCTGCGCTGACACTGAAATTATCCTAAAATCTGCTGATTTTAAAGCGAAGTTCTGAACCGTGAACGTTTCCGTTAAATACCAAATCAGAGAAAAAGGGGAAACGCGCCCATTTCTGTGTTTGGGATTAAAACAAACCATTAGAAAATAAAAAACAAGAATTTTATGAATGGACTCATTTGTTATGATAAAAGACATTGGACACATTTAAATATATAAAATCAAATAAAATCTAGCTTTTGATTTAAAAAGGCAGATTTTATTTTCTTTTTAGTTTGTATTTTTTATGGTTTAAAACAGAAAAACAAACAAACAAAAAAGGCAATTTTTGGGGTTGTTGTTGGTTTAAAACAAGAAAAACAGGAAATAGGGCTCCATTTTTGTTTTTTTCATTTATAGTTTAAAATAATTTTTTTAATGTTTTGTTTCTTTTGTGGTTTAAAACACAACAAAGAAAAAATGTCTCTTTTTGTAGTTAAAATAAATACTTAAATACTTTTTTTCCTTTTTTTTTTAAATTAAAAGGGGGTCAATTTTCACTATTTTTTGTTTGTGGTTTAAAACACAAAATCTATGTTTTTAAAACGGCCCCATTTTCTAGTTTCATCATTTCTGGTTTAAAATGACAAAATAAGCAAAATGGATTATTTCCTGTTTGTTTGTTTTTTTATGCTTTAAAACAGAAAATTGACAAAAGGGAGCATTTTTTTATTATTATTTTTGTTGTTTGTGGTTTAATTCGAAACAACAAAATAGGCCTCTTGTTTGTTTTTAGTTTAAAACAAAAGAACAATAAACGTGGTGTGCTTTTTGCTATCAGACAGGAAAACAGGTGATGTGTTAATAAAAACTTTTTATTTAATCAAGTCCAGTCCAAGGATGTCTGCTATTAAATGTGATGAATGTTCCTCTTTTACATGATAAATAATGTGCAACACATCTGAAGTTACAGAAACCTGGAGACACCAGGGCTGCATGTGTTTCTTTTTTATACTTTATGTACATTTTGTGCTGAATCACTTTGTCCAGCAGCTAAATGACAACAAGGTGTGTGTTTGGCCTTCGATGTGTTCCTCTTGTGTGTGTTTTTGTGTTGACATCCAGACGGTGTTTGTGTTCTCAGGTCATCTCCCAGCTCATGGTCTTCATGGTCAGCGTGGTCAGCATGGTGTTCTGTGGTCATCTGGGGAAAACCGAGCTGGCCGGAGTTTCTCTGGCGGCGGCGGTGAGGAGGAGAAGATTCATTCTGCCTCTGCCGTCTCTCTCACACTTTCATCATTCTTGTAAACGTCGTGTTGCAGGTGGTGAACGTCACCGGCATTTCCATCGGCACCGGGCTGTCGGCGGCGTGTGACACGCTCATGTCCCAGGTAGGCCAGCGTTTCTTCTTCTCCTGTCAGGGTCGCTTTCTCGGCCTCCACTCACCATCTTATCCTACAGACGTATGGGAGCGGAAACCTGAAGCGAGTCGGCGTGATCCTCCAGAGGGGGATCCTGATCCTGCTGCTGGCCTGCTTCCCCTGCTGGGCCGTCCTCATCAACACCGAGCCTCTGCTGCTGGCCGCCAGGCAGACTCCAGAGGTCGCCAGGTCAGTGTGAGCCCCCCTCGGTTCTGTGTACCTTTAACGTTCAGTAATAAACGCTGTATTCAGTCTTTTTCATGCTTCGTTGTTCCTGCGTGAAGCCTCTCCCAGCTGTACGTCAAGATCTTCATGCCTGCTGTCCCGGTGAGTCCGTTTGTCCTCAACCTGATCAGCCACAGCTTTAAAGTCAGCTGATAGTGTCTCAGTCTGACTCGATGCCAG